CCTTCACCGACGAAAAAAGGGAAACAAAACTGATGGCATCAACTTAAAATAAACCCTGCTTAATCGAGATTTAATGAAGTTAACGCTTGTGGTTAGACAAAAAGGCACCTACACTTAATGAGAGTACCCTGCGTTTTGCTGACAAAAAGTAACAGAAACCCGAGCGATTTTTGAGAATTGTGTTAGAAGCCGGACAGATAGAAAACATGTAAAAATATTGAGATAATAGCAAGCTCTTAAACCGAACAATTAACTTGGTCAGAACGTTGGATGAAAAGGACAATAAAATTACTTGGCTTTTCGAATAGAACTCCCCAGTTGCGACCGTAAACGGGATAGTTCTTCTTCATAAGCGCGACACTGAGAGAGCATCTGCTCATGTTCAACTTGAAGATCCCGAGATTTTTTCTTCCAGAGATTGACCTATTAAAGTTCCAGTAAGCTACACTCAGTCAAGAACAAATGAAAATCCTACAAGTTTCCACGAACACGTGTCAGACTCTTATAGAAAACACGGGCGCAATTTATAGCAGAATGCTAAAAAGCTATTGCAGATATGGAAAGATCAAAAGACCATCGTCATGGACGGTCACGAAAAATGTGATTGAGTGTCATAAGGATTAAGACCGCTACCTTTGAGAAGAAACGAAAAAGCCTTCGTGTAGTAGAAACTTTTGTTTAAAAATAGATTGGACATTAGAATAATGGAAAATATACTCACGAACGACATCCGAAAAGTACTGAGTACTGTATCCTTCAAATTTTTCATTATTAAGAAATTGCAGACGTGCTGTTTCACAAAGAGAACCCGTTACTGTTATCTGCAGTAATCGAGTATAGTGGCTTGGGGTTGACGCATTTATTCTTTAAGGGTTGCACAGCGGAATTTGTCGTTGAAATACTTATGAATCACATTCCACGCCACTAATGCACACGATACTCGTATGGATTTTATATACCTACCATGCGGTCATAGATGTAGGTCGTTCGAGCAGAAGATTATTTCATTTTGACCTTGAAATCATGCTGCCTTCAATAAAAACAGTCTGCTTTGGATGAGATCACACTAATTCCCAAAACACAGCGAGGATATCTTCGGTCATGTAACAAAAACCACTGACATAAAATGGACTCCAGCTCTGTAAGTTAAATGTAGAGGCCCCCATCATATACTGCTGACCAAATGGAAGAAACAGAGACGTCTGCTCAAAACATAACTGTATGTAGTTAATCAGCACGTAGAATCGGTTATTGGACATCCATTCTGTCAGTGGAGGAATAGATAGAGCTCTCCAGACCAGGTACTGCGAGTCAGCCACTGTGAAATACAATGCTAAATATGAACGAGGTCGGAGAGATCAGAAGTGAGCACAGTGCTAGTATCTCTGATCATAGCATAAAAGCATTGTTTGAAAGAAAACGACTGGCGGAGTTCTCTTAGGCACTACTCAGCGAACGCTCATAAAGGGAGTCATAAAAAGTGAGGTTTAGTTTTCAAGCTGAAGGAACAAACTAGGAAAAAACAGCCGAGCGAGTGCTGAGGAGCCGTGGGTGCTTAAAATTCGATTAAATATCAAACCTTGTGAAGTTAGCAGGGAGTAATGAGGAAAAAATAAACAAATAACTCATTTATGCCATGAAATATTGAAACTACTGTTAACTGACTGCCCAAGTAGGAGAGAACGGGTTTTAAAAACGACAGAAAGGCCCACGCCGTAGTACAGCTAGCGTTCTAACCGAAACTTTTCCATTTACCAGGAATTCGGTCCAAATGTGGTTAAGGTCAAAATAGGGTAGTGTGATAACCGTGACAATGAGGACTATTATAAGTGTGAAAACACAAGCAGATAGTTTTGTATAGATAAAATATAAACAATAACGCATAGAGAACGATTGGCCAAAAAAGCATACACAGCTGATGAAGGCATGCATATGACAACAATAAAACACCTTGTCGATAGCAAGATTGATACCATCCAATTCCGACCACTGTGTGTCTTGGAACTTGGCTGCTGAACTGTAGTTTTCTAGAACTGACTGTGCTGCTTCAAATTCAGTTTGGGCTGCACGGTACTGTTCGGAATTTCGCTGAATGTCCAAAACAAGTTGCTGGCGCTTGTCAGAAAGTTCCGAATACGGCCTCGATTTTTCAATGCTTGACTTTAACTTTCGATAGGTAGCAGAAAGTTGTTTGGAGCCCTCCGAAAGGGTAAGGTGAAACTGGCGGCGGCATTCCTAAAGGAATACAATTAAATGGCAAAGCATTTACCTCTAACTGGGTTTCTAATTGGTTTATAGACAACGAAGCTTGATTAAGTTTGTCTAATTCTACCTACCAGATAGAGTATAATAGACAAATTAAAACATGCCTTGACCTCCTCCGTATAATCGCCAAGCATTTGGGGGAGGGTTGGCCCTCAAATAAACCAAACCGGGATGCGCGCGGTATCAACTTGACCTGTCGAATTTGAGGTCAGAGAACG